GGAACGGCCCGGAACGGCCGCGGCGCAGCCGCAACGTCCGCCCGCTGCGCCCCGCTTCCGGGGCGGGGCAAAATGGCGGCGGCAGCGGCGCTACCGGCCGCGCTCTCGGGCAGATTTAAAGGGTCCGTCGGTGCCCGGCGCGCTCGGAGCGAGGGGGCCGCGGGGAGAGCGGGGCCCGCGGCGCTCGGCCGGCGCCTCGGGCCCGGGAGCGGCCGCCTGCGGTGCCGCGGGCCTCGGCGGGGCCGTTAGCGCGGGCGGCGCCGCTCCGCGCCCGGCCCGGGAGGCGGCGCTGCGCGGCCGCGGGTCCCGCCGCCCCTCGCAGCGCGGGTGCCCGGCGGAGCGGAGATCGTGCTTTGCCTCCAGGGTTTCTTGCGGCAGTCGGTGCCGGGGAACTGTTTCCTGACGGCGTTTGAAACCCGGCTCCGGCGCCAGGGGCCCGGCCCTGTGTTAAGGCCCCTGTGCCGATTGCCTTAAAGAGCGCAGTGTCCTGATTGTGCTTTCCTCATTGACCCTGTTAAAAATAAGCCTTGTAAACCCTCGTGTAAATTAGAAAGGAAGCGGCACACTTTTTTTTTCTCCTCCCCTTGTTAAAGCTGCTTAATTAAGGTATAACAAACTTTAAGGCATTCTCTGTATCCAAATGCCTTTGGTATTTCCCCCGAGGGTAACTGAGCAAATAGTGATAGCGTTTTTGTATATGTGTGTGAAATTTATTTAGATTTTGTGCTTTTGCTTGGGCCAACCAGTTCATCTGTCACTCTCTATGAAACACTTTTTTTTCTCTCTAAAAGCAGACTTGCAAACTTAACCAGTTCAGGTTTTATTTTTGGTGCCTGTTGCTTAAAAGGCACTTAAATGCAAGCTCTGAAAAACGAATGTATCAAAGGTTCCTTTTGGGAGTAATGTTTTGATCTTTCCGTTTTTAGATCTTTTGCATATGTTACAATTAAAGATAGACTTCCTCAGATCCTCACAAAAGTTATTGATACTCTGCATCGGCATAAAAATGAATTCTTTGAAGAACATGGTGAGGTAAGAATAAGTTTTCTTGTATTTCTTACAAGTTTTATAAGTATACATTAGTATGTCTTATCTAGTTTATCTTATATATAGTATATCTTAATCTAGTACATGGTGTATCTTATATATCTTATGGTATATCTTATAAGTATAAATTTTCGTATGTTTCTTATATGTTTTATTTGAACTGAAGGGTTTCTGTAATGCTTGAGATTTGTTCTCTTTGTTGCTATTTTTTCCTATTGTCTTCATTTTTGTAATCTCTTCGTTTCTGCCTTGATCATCTCATTCTTGTAGCTGTCTCTCTTATTTTTTAACTTTCCTTAACGTTTTTTGATCTTTTTGTTCTCCAAATGCCTCAGTTTCTCTTTTACGCCTGTGTCTTTTATGCTGTGTCTGATGTGCTTTGCCATCTTTTGAGGATGGCAGTTTCAGGTTACTCTTTCTCTCAAAAAAAAAAAAAAACACAAGTCCAATCTAAAAAGAATTCTCATATTTGACTCAGTTTAAGAGGTCTTAGCTGTAAAACAAGGCTTAACAAAAGGTTTTTGAGGAAACCAAGATAACACTTTTCTAGAACGTGTATTTGGCTGTTGGAGTTTATCACTTATTGCTCTTTTGAAAGTTGATCTACGATGCCATAGGAATGAATATTCAGAGTAGGATCTTGTGTTCCCCACTTACTTCAGAAAGGTGTTGAAGCAGAGAAGAGAGCTATATCTTTCCTCTCTAAATTACGGAATGAACTGCAAACAGACAAGCCCGTGACCCCTTTGGAAGATGAGCTGGCAGATGCTGCTCTGTGGAACCAGTACCTGGACTATCAGCGAAATCTGTCCACTGGAAACGGAGAACCAAGCTGGTTTCAGTCCCCTTGGCTCTATGTGGAATGTTACATGTATCGAAGAATTCAGTCAGCATTAGCACAAAGGTAAGTGCTTGCTAACAGAATCACAGAATGTTTAAGGGTGGAAGGGACCTCTGGAGATCATCTAGTCCAACCTTCCTGCTCAAGCAGGGACACCTAGAGATGTATTTTCCAAAACACTGTTCTTAAGTTTCCTTTTAGGAGAAAGGAAGACAAATATGGAGTAAGATAAGACTTAATTGTTTACCATGTTTCTTTAATCTTGCCTTACGATGTTTCTTTAGTCTTGTATTAATCTGTTTTAGTCCTTTTGCTGTCTTCCGTGCAGCAGATTTTAAAGGTTTTTTTTCCAGTTTTTGACTTGCTGTATACCAAAACTCTAAATCTTGTATTGGTATACAAATGTATACCATGCAGAGCAGTGTATATTGAGATCTGGATGTTATTTAATATATTTTTTACGAGTTTATGAGTCTAGAAGCATTTATCAATGCTTCTAGCTTCTATGCTTTTGGGCTATTCAACTTGTTTTGCTGCTAAAAAGCTGAGGAGTGTTTGAGAGCTGGCTATGGTGGCAGTACACCTGGCTTAAACAGACCCTGTTCATTCTCTTTGGTCTTAGTTACAGTTGTATTTTTCAGGCCATCAAATTTCAGGAGCAGATCCTGGTTTAAAAATTAACTTGGTGGGAAAAGAAATGTAACTGGCCCCAGAATAACATGTAATGAAGGTAGAAACTAACAGTTTGAGACCTCACTCCTGCCAAAAACAACAGACTTCATGCGTAGTACTGTCCCCTTAGTATTATATGGATAGAAATACAGTAATGAGACTTTGTTTCAGCTTGTGTATTGTGCCATTTCAACTCTTTTTGAAAAACCTTTAAATGGGAGATGGATGTTCTGGGTCGCGCTTTGGAAATTGAACTGATGCTTTTCATGAGCAAGCTCTAAGTTTCTCTGTCTTTTTGCTGCTCTTACGCATATGCCTAGATGGAGGTCCACTGAATCATTGGTCAAAAGGTTTAACTGTAAATTTGCCTTCTGTAATATGTAAAACATACAGGCTTGTCCATTTTAAGAATTTTTTTGTGTATGCTCAGTCACTTTATTTTCCCAAAGTCTAGTTAACTGCTGTAAGAGAATTTGGTATAACAATATGCTCTGTAACCACAAATGTACTTAAAATTGGGCCAGCTGTTCGCTAAGCTCATACACTTTTATGTTTTAATCTTTTTTCATGAAGAATGATATTTAAAAATTGCAAATGTATGTGCAGTTCCCAAAACTGCCATGTCTGAAACAGCTGGTCAAGAATCCACTATAAGTGGATGAGAAGTGGAAGGGCTATGATCCTTAGCCCTGCCTAATGAAAGCTGACATTTTCATGGGTATTTACTCTGCTATAAATAACAATATGAGAAATATGCTAATATATTTGTTTTCCTTTTATTTTTAGCCCACCCATTGACAACTTTGATGTATTTAAGGAAGGAAAGGCTCAAAATTTTTTTGAATCCCAACAAGCTGTTATCGCCTTGTGCACCTACTTTCAGGAGCTTCTTAGGAACATCAAGGATCTCGATGAAAAGCAACTTAAGGGGGAATTTTTTAACCTACTGCAGGTAAACCAGTAATGCTCAGTACAAGAACCTAAAAGGCTCTCGTTAGCAAACAAAAGCCATGAGGTTATAGAGATGATAAACTACATGTGCAAATAAAATCTGGTTCTTCTACTCATATAAATGCTATACTATCCTGACAGCTGTACTCTAATATTTCTTTGGAAATATTTAAGCTTTGGGTGCTCATGTTAGGTCTGACACTTTCATTATGCTGCTAATCTTCACTGTATGTTTAAAGACATCTTATTCCCTCTTGAGAACAATATCTCCAAAGCAGTTAGGTTCAAGATGGCCTTTGAGCTGTAGCATTTTAAAAATGATTATTACAAAATTGATTTTTTTGAAAGAAACTTGGAAGCCAATCAGTGTTGGAAGAGGTTTAAGGGGACTGTATAACTTCATTACTCTTGAAAATAATGCCTTTGGGTAAAATATGAAATACAGTATTGCAAATGAATCTATTAGCTGGCAACATGCACAGCTAATTAGCTGATAAATCTTTCTGAAGACCTCACTGCCATTTATTTAAACTATCTTTATATTTCTTTATATTTTATATAGTCTGTGTTTGTTTTTA